GACACAGAAGATCTAGTAAATGGTCATGTAACTACGCTGTGAGGAATATTTGAATTCATGGAAATATTAAATAGTGATGTTAGAATAAGAATCTTCGGAATAAGATTCTTCTGTTTGGTAAATAATTAAAAAGGCTAAGTTTGTTTTGAACATAATCAGGAATTACAAACTTATTTTGCGAGCTTTCGAAATCGTCTAAAAAAATATTCGTTCTGAACAAACAGGTGTCCCTAATTGTAAAGAAAGAGAAACTTTGCACATACACAAATGATTGCGTCTTTGAATTTTGCAATAGATGTAAGGGGATATAGCACGTCTATTCTTGGTTTTCTAAAATTATCAATAGAAAAATCCTGTGTGTTACTTTACTGCGCAGTGAAATTGTTTACAGAAACAAGAAAGAGGAAGGTTTCGAACAGTAATGAAAACATTTATCAAAATGGCATTATACACGGTACATGATAGGGACACTTTAAACTCCGTGATATAAAAAACAAACACATCCACCTTGAAAAAAAAAAAACAATATCGAGAAAACCCTGATTTAAACGATATCCAATTTCAAAATTACAAAACACGACAACAATTGAGTTGCATAAATACACAAAAAGTCTCCAGGAACCTAATGGTGTGGCATTGTAATTCTCGGTATAGATTTGTGTTGGGAGCGTACAGCTCGTGTAATATTACCGACTGGTGTATGACTAGTAATTTGGCGTCATACATATCGGATGTGACAAGAGATTCTGTTTCATATGAGATTTATGAAATGAAATGGAGATTTGTTTTTTCATTTTAGGTAATCTCTTGCGAACTAAAAGGACAGATTTCCGACAGGTCTCCTAAATCACGAATGAAATGGAAACGCGTTTGTGATTCATTTCATCACATGATCAAGATTCGGTTTTGCAATATAACACTATTTACATTGTAAAATTTCACCATCTTTGCTGGATATGTATTGTCGCATTGTGACGTCGATATCTTTGTCAATATCACACTTTTAAGTGTATTTCACATAATTTTCACCGTCAAAACAATCTATACCTGTTTTACTTCGTGATTCTTAAAAAGAATCAAGAAAACAAATAATGATTCTTAAATGCATAGTTGTGATGCCAGGTAGCCTATCACATATATTGCAGGCTATTATTAATACAGCTCGACTAAAAACAAACACTCATGCTGATACATACAAAGTGTTTTATGTTACATGGTAACAAAGCATATAATATTAAACACTTCAATATCTTATTTGTTATTCAGCAAAGGAAGTTTAAATCCATATAGACTGGATATCGGTGTTCATGATTTTTTTTGAGATTTGGTGACGTCATTCAGGTCAGAACAATGCGATTGTGAGAAAATATCGAGTGAAAGTCAACTTTGCAATTTGTGGCGTCATTTCTTTCTAACTTTATGACGTAGCAATGGGTCATATTACACAAGTCCGTTCATACGTAAACAAGTATGGCATCCGTTAATGCACCGAGTAACTCGGTCATCATATAATAACTCCTTATTAGGAAATGACTCCATTATGAAACCATCTGTATGTGTCTATTATTTTGACTTGTATTTAAGGAAACCAGAGATGATTTATATTAGCTGTACAAAACGAGTATTTATTGATACAATATACTGAGACGTGAACATTCATGACTGTATCTGATGCTTTTTTTTAAAAGGCTTCTAAAAAGTTCGGAGCTATTTCACCAAGTCTGATTCTCCATGAACTGTTTCTTTGCTCATATTTTGCACTAGTTTTATCAATGTAAAGTTTGGATTACGGGTTGATAACTCTGGACCTTCTACCTATTCAGGTGATATTGCCCTTTCAACGAAATTGTATAAGATCATGTGCCATTCATTGTTGCGTTATCAGTTTAAATAGTTCTGCAATAGCGATACCCTATTATATTTCAATAATGAACGTAACTAAGACGAAAGCGGCAATAAAATATCTTCAACTCCCAAACAAATCGATGATGGCTTCACTAGAACATTTAAGAGTGAATCATCGTCATATGCTGTGGTGAAATACATTGATCCACATTGTTTAAACAGAAGACAAACATTAAACATGACCCTAAGTCAGGTATTCTAAAAAAAATGCATGAAATGCTGAAAATATCCAAAGCGTTGACAAACAGGTTTTGCGATGAAGATGTGTTGTTATGTCACCTTATAGAAGCTAAAAATGGCGTCATATCAAAGCCTGGCAATAAACCAGATATTACATAACTGAGGAGTTCTTTACCGTAGCTCTCTTCTTCTACCTTATCATTGCCGGGACAACAGACTTTCAAAAGTATATCTACTTCCAAAATGAAAGCCGAGTTATATGGACGGTTCGTTAAAATAAACGACAAGATATATATCTACTGATGACGTTTATGAGTCTCAGGGTTAGACTTTCTGCAGCGAAATTAGGTCGGCACCGTGCTAAATAAGATAAGGTACAGGGATAGTGAATTGCAAAATGTTAATGAAAAAGTTGCAACTAAGAGTAGATCGGGCTACCAACGAACATATCAAACACTTCCGCCCCCTTGTAACATATACGTGTTATGTTGGCATTCATGTCGAACTTATGAAAGCCCTTTATTACTCATTTTAACGATAAACACACATACTAATAAGAAAAACATACATGTTTATTTGATTTTGTTCACTCCGAAGATCGTTTAAAGCCTACACCCACTTAAAGATCGCTTACAGTTTTCTCGACAAACCGTTCGTTTAGTAACAAGAGCTGCTAGAGAACAGCATAGCTTGCCTATTGGTGATATATGTTGTAAGATAGCAAATATCAATAGAAACAAATGTACAATAAAACCTCGATATAATGCCCGTCATTTCCTTTTTCAACTCATTTAGCGCCAACATATTTTCAGGTCCCTTAATTATGTTTTTCTTAAGAATTCCTTATACGTTTCCCACGATTTATCGCCAAACCCTTTTATAATGCCAACAGCGTATTGATCATGGTGACCGATTGAACACGGCACAAAAGAAAAGTGCCCAAAAACTTTAACCTAGTTCAAATAACCAGTTTTGGCCCCTAAAATAATTAAAATATAATGCAGAACCTTGCTTACACTCCATATAAGTACTTTAACTTTATAATAGGCAACAGCCTATAGTTATCCAACAATACACAAAACAAATTGCCCAAAATATTTAACCAAGTCCAATTAAGCTGTTTTGGTCAAAATATGAAAGTATTGTCCAACACATTGCTTACACTCAATATAAATGACTTAACCTCATAATAGTCAACTGTGTGTGATCCAACACTGTCTGGAAAAAACTTGCCCAAAGACTTTAACTTAAGAAGGTGGGACGCCGACCCCGGGGTATCAACATTAGCCTCCATATTCTCCGAATAGGCGAGCTTAAAAGCATTACTTTTACAAAACTGTAAATACATTTCACAAACTGAAACTTTGAATTCAAAAATAAACATTGTAGTTTACTTATATTCCATACTCACAAAATTTTAACATTTCGGTCTTCAGCATGCGTATGGGATTTATAAATTGAAACATGTAAGCTCACTTCCCTTTATTTGTCATTTTTTGTGCTTCTACTTACACAGAGTCAGTGCTGCTACTGAGAACATTGCAAATCTATCAGTCGATTTATCAACACAATTAATTGAGATTCAATGTAATTCTATATATGTTCATAAAATATGTAAAAAATATATATTCAAATAACAGCTCACCACAAATCCCAAACTTATCCTCCTTCGTTTTTGATTTCGTATATATTCTACTTTCAGCTTTAATACTTTTTATCATAGAGCATTGAAAACATGTTGACATTAGAAATATGTTTTTGTTTTGTTTTATATATTAATGAATCTGAACATATTTTTCTATATTTTTTTGCAGCCGCTGTCATCGTCTTCGACGACCACGATGCCTAAAACGACGACGACGATGCCGATGGCGACGATATCAATGATAGTGAGGAATATGTAAAGTCTTTTATGAATGGTCATTTTGATTTGATCAATTGATAGACGACACATTTTAAAAGTATACACGAACATATGCAATGGTAATGATATAAATCTTATTACATAAAGCTAAGTATATGTAAGGTATGCTACATCTTTATATGGTAAAGAGTTAGTGCTATACTCTACCAATGACTAGTTGTAGATGTGACAATGACGGGTAAGATAGAGATACACGCGAGGCTACATTTATAGTAATGCCATATAAACGACACTTTACGTCCTCCCTTTCATGTTTCATCAGTATTAGAGTATATCTACAGAACACTTCTTGTTATGCTTGTATATGGTGTTATGGTACATTACGGAATTATATCCATAGATAAACTTATAAAAGTGTTGTTTTTTTGCGTAATAATGGAGTAGGAGAATATTTCCATAGAAACTGATTCAATAAATTGGTAGTATTTTGGTGTTTATGATGATGTATGGGATAATATATATATGTATAGACAATCAGTTGAAATGGTTACATCATTTGATATCAAAGATACATTACGAGAGTATATCTGTAGACAACTTATCCTAATGATCGGAGCGGAAGTATAATTATAGAGTTCTTAACTAAGTGTATTATCTATATGCAAGAAGTGTAGAAGCCTCGTAATAGGAGATGAAGCACGAATACTATGACAAGTAATATATTGGAAGTAGTTATGGCATTAAAATACATGTACCTTTATTTAAAACATCGCCTGTTTATAAAGAAAAGATAATTTGTTTTGCAATAAGCAAATAGACACAATGTATCATGAAATACGTTACAACATCAACGCAAAGATTTTCATATCTATATTCGTATTTGAAGTATTTCACTATGGATGTTTAGTGTGTACTTAAACAATAGAATAAATATAGATATATTTATTTACATGTAGAAATCACTATACTATTTAAGAATGGGCACGGCATGGATTAATGCGTGTTTTGAGTAGTGTGTACAAGAATAGACATGCTAACGGATTGTACTTACAGATAAAGTTTCCTGTAATTCCAGTTCCAGACTGGTGCCGGGGAGCTTTCCCCAGGTCGCACATCCCAAGGGAACTGAACACAGATCAGATACAGCTCCGTCCACTGTTCCACTTGTCAGAAAACACAAAACAAATGTACATAACACCGAGAACGTCAGGACGTCTTGGACCTTCATTGTTGTTCCACACGAATGCTGTTCATTCACGGGAATCCACCCACACGCGGTAGAAGTAGAATCAATGAGGCAGGGATACACACATTAAGGCTATAATTTGTACGTTTGAATCTTGGAATCGTCAAATAAGCTTTCTAATTGAATATATCTTCCTTTTCGTCAATATTGCGCTGTAGGGTAATTGTATAATTGCATCAATAATATGAATATTGCGTTAACAGGAAGGATGCTTACTCCAATGTTCGCTTATATCTTCACAGTACTGCTTTATACACCTCCAGTCAAAGATATGTAACCGTGGAATGAATATTTATACTGCTCCCGCATTCGATACTAATTGTACCCCTCCACCGTAGAGAGAGAGTTTGTCTATCCTGATACGGGACAGGAGCCCATCTCACATATCCGGCCTTAATTATACACCGGACGTGACATACCCAGACATTGAAGGATGAATCAAGGATTGAGTTCAGTTACATATATATTCCAACGCTGAATCTCATACGCGTTGTTTAATATATTGTGTACTCTAGGAAAGTCCGGTCCTATTGGAAATAGACAAATGGGCTACAGTCTTTGGCATTACCCACCAATGTTAAAAGATCGAGAGTGTCTGATGGACAAAATTAGTCTGTACGAGATACACTTCTGTGGCAAAATTAACAGATGGAATATGTCTGATGGACACAATGAGTTAGTATATACCCTAGGGCAATTGTAATAGATCGAGTATATTCCGTGACACAGATGCAGCGTATTCTCCAAAACAAGGTCGGTTGTCACAAAGCATAGATGTGGGTCCGCTTTGAACGATTATCGAAGTATAAGACAAGTTTATTTGTTTATTCAAACAAGAAAACTGCTTGTTATTTCATGAACCTACGGATGAAAACTACAGATTGTAATAAACGTCCATCCAGTCTCATTAAGTGGTCCTCGAATGTCATTTGTATATCCAATCTGGTAGCTCTGTAGGGATTCCTCCGCGAATCATGTTTCCACGTCTGCCTTCGGGCGTGGTATCTGGAGTACTGGAAACACGGCAAGGTTATAGTGTATATAATATTAGTTAATACAGGTAATTCATTTCTGGTGTGGAGACGTGGTCTTTTGGTGTGTATTGCTGCAATAAAGAAAATTAATAAACGTAAACATGTTACCTTATATTTAACCATACACTTTAATGGAACAGCTTTAATAACTATATTTTTTTATTGCTAATTATTTTAAGGGTAATCATCCTTTAACGGAATTTAAAATTCAGTTGAAAAAAAATTCAAACAATACTTTACCGTTGCAGTGACTTTTATTATATTTAATTGTATGGTGTTTGACGCTGATTCAACAAAGCATTTACAGACTAATGCATGGTGTGGTTGATCTGGAATATATTCTAATTTAAAGTATAACAGGCAGTTTACTTTCATGAAGTGTTGTAGCTATTCAATATGAAACACACGGTAACTGCTTTTCAATATACCTATATTAGTTGTCTCGTTCGGTCATACAATATGATACAATGATGTCTACGTTTATGGCGAACCTTAGCAGGAAGAGTTTCAACAGCATGTTGTTGTACATGTATCGGGTTAAACGTCTTATCAACAAATGAGGTCATTTAAGGACGTGCCTGCGTGTGTGTTGTGTATGCGTGCATTTGAGTTTGTGTGCCGAAGACAGAGTATGTTGGCGTATTTGCCTCCTTATGATAGCGCGGATCTGATGCCGACTTGATAGAGTTATCTAGCTGAAATACCATGCAGAAGGCACCACAAATAGAATTCCGTCCGGTCACATAATAGTGACAACAGGTGAACCATTTATGTCATTACCTTAAATGCTGAACCTTAAGCAGAGAATAACGACTACCATTTTTAAAAACTTTGGTATGTCCGGGCCTGGGGACAGAACCAATATCTTTCCTCACCTTGGCGAACGTTCTGCATTAAAGCAAAAATTGAAGTATTGCCTAGCAATGCGCTAAGACTAAAAAGTAGTAAGAAGCAGAAAGAAATATATCATTATCCTAATCATGGCAAAAGGTGGGGCAGTTGTATTTTGGTCGCTTTTGTGTCCCCAAATAGAGGGTACGCATGAAAATCCCCACTTCCTCACATAAGTCGCCTCTTATGATACATTTTTTATCTATCCTCGACCTGCAGGAGTTGTCAACAACAGACGTTTATTCATCATTTAGATGTTTTAAAGGAATGATCGAGATATTTTATTTAGAAATCAGCTTTCGACTTGACCGACACAAAATGATTGTCTCTTTAAAATATATAGAAACCATTCGTTATCAAATCACAGTTGTTGGAATTCTCCTTGGGTTAGCTGCAAATTAGGGGAAAACGATCAAATGTTCAATGTTTATTAAAAAAAGAATAAATAATTTAAGTTACACGAATTTATATGGATTGCTGCCGAAAAAGTTTATTTTAATGATATTTCGGGCATATATGTTTGGTTAACAACATGCTAAGCAGAGCCGAACTTTATCAACAGACAATGATTCAGACAGTTCTTTCTATCCTGAAGGCTAGTCACAAGAATGGCCTCAAGTTGAACTGGTCTTTCCATTGATATATTCATCCATTTTCTGAGGATACTGATCTCTCCGAGTGTTTGTTTCACGAGTTATTCCAATCGATCAATTGACGGTAAGAATGTTGCTCCGTTCAGTATTGACCAAAACCAGTATTAATGACTCATTTGCATATGTCGGATATCATTAGATGAAATCAATGTCCAATTAAGATACATATAAATTGCTATTAACGCAAACGAACATGTAATTTATACGTAGCATTCACATTTTCTTCGTGTCATTTGTTCCAGTTCCTCAAATTGTCCCCTGCTGCTCGAGCAAACGACATGTTTTACAAATAGAATAACACGCCAATATGTTTGAATACATGACTGAAAAGAAGTTCCTTTAATTGAGTCGAGTAGAAGATATTGGTTTGCTTCAAGTACTATTACGACGTATTGGACCTGTTCTGTCGTCAATTTAGATTACTAGTCTTGCATAACAGGTCATATAAAAAAGAAAATCTCCGTCTGATTAATCTTTTGTAAGATATTTACTTATTAGCATAATGCCGTAGGCGGAGTGAATAATATTATCTTTGATGAAGGATACATGCAGTTCTAGCTGTCTTTTATAAACAGAATATTTACTTAGGAACGGCTTGTTTACTAGAATTTTTTCCAGATATTTTCCATAATGCCATTTGTAATCTTATTAGACAAGTAGCTGGCGTTGTGGTGAATGCATGTAGGTTAAATTTGGTTGTACATCAAACGGTTCGCCTAAACAATGCTTACGTCCGTACTTACCATGTCAGACAATCGATTGGTGCCGATTTTGATCTTATTAGAAATCTTATACGTAAGTGTATTACTGTTATTAGAAACGATGTTCAATGCATTTCTTACGTTAATATTTTAATATTAACGTAAGAAATGCATTGAACATAGACAGATACAGGATTAAGAGTAAATATTACCTTACATATTACAGTATAAGTACACAAGTACGCTGCCGATATAGAATGATACTGTTATTAGCATGAACTCCCGGAATATCAAAGCAAAAAGAACACACATTGGAGGATAAACCAGACGTCCCGGATGGGTAAGCGTTCCCGCCATTATACATGACATCCGTCACATCTCCCGTAAAATTAAATGAACAACATACATCGCACATATAATACTGAACGTGTGTTTGTATGATGTAATTTAGGTAGCTATGATATCATTATTACTTCTATAAAAAGGTTGTTTCCATATGCGACATATAATTCATACAAAATGAACATAGTCATTGTGTCAAAATAACGGCTTCACAATGGTAATCAGTCTTCATCATTGATAATTGGTTCCGTTATGTGAAATAGCATGCCAGTATTTTGACAGTCATTACCGATACCAAGAAACTTGCGACGAGGTCTCACGTAACCAACTAGGTGAGCGTGATGTGAGCTCGTAATTATACTTCCAAAGCACATGTAGGTCAACACGTTAGGAGGAAGCCTCGTGATGTTATTTGAGTATAGACATAATTAAAATAATGATTCTCCTTGCTTGTATAATTACGTTCCGTTTCTTTTTAATTGGTTTCGTCACCAATTTGATCCTATTTTCGGAAAGAATGAAAAAGAAAACTGATTGAGCATGATAACATATGAGAGGAGAATATTTTTACTGATTGCTTATCAAAAAGGTTCATTAGCATTTAGTAATAGAACGTTTAGAGGTAAATTGATAATATTAAAACATCTTATATTAGCCTGAATTATGACATTATTTTCAAGATAAGATATGTATAAACCCTTATCCGTTTCATGTTATACAATAACGATACTCAATTTGATTTCTCTTTGTTGGTCATTGTAGACTTTTTGTTTGCTACAATTCAAGTACGTCATGTTATAATATTCTCCGAGTTGACCCGTGAGAACACCAAATACACTTTTTATCATTATGAAACATAAAGTCGCTTGGATGGGCTTAAGAACATTTTATAATGATGAAGAAAAAAATCGGTTTGGTATTTCTACAACACTCTCATACATAAGAGACTTAAGTGGGATAGGTTTCTTATTAGTGTTTTTTAACACACACATTTAAATGACGAGTATAGATCGTTAATACAAGTGGTTAGCACACAACAATCAGGCCAAATACTGCTATTAAGGCATGGTTCTGTCATCTGGTAGCTATCATGTATCCTCATGTGATTTTTGTTATAAGATTTAGCACATCTTATCTACTGGCACTTTGTCATTTAAAATGAAACATAGGACAAAAGCAATCTGATAGCGTAAGTAAGGAAAATTGAAATACCTTTAACAACGAAATTTCGTCGATCCGGCGTCGGTCTCACTCATGAAGTTGTAGAGAACATGTACTTGTGCCAGATTTATTCTTCTCCATGCCAAGGGCGTCGTGTGCCAATCCTCTCAGACGTGTTACCACTCGGCCATGCTTGCCAATTGTTGCTACCGTGTGATTATTTGCCATGTTATGGTATGCTAATATATAATTCGTTCTTAGGTTTCGTTTTAAATTACAAAGGAAAGGAAACTCTTGTTATCTCACACTGTATACGTTTGTGACAACACTACACTATACTACAATGTTGTCTCTTTTCAGCTCTTCAGCTGCGGATGATTTGACCTCAAAGTACTAGCATTTCAATGATTTTTATGTTATGTTTTGATAAACCTTTCAAGAGGAGATGGGAATGAATACTACCTGGTTAAAGATCTCGTCTAAAGAGGGTCTCGTCTGTGCTCCTATTGTATGGAGAATATATATAAAGGCCTTATCATTAGTCTTCGAAAATAAGATGCCGAGACTTTATATTACAATCTCTTGGGCTAGACCACATATAAGACATTCTGTTATCAAGACCTTTCCTTTATCTCTGATACCGACTAATTCCCAATCAGGGTAAACGGTTATTCGACTTTTCTCAATGCGGCATTTCGACGGGCCTCCTGCTGTCACCACGAATGCTGAACCTCTGCTACTGTGTAGGCGGGTTGTCGTAGGATCACCGGACACGCTTAAGTCTCTGTGAGCCAGTTTCTGATACCGAGTTGACTCGATGGCCGGGAGGAGAATTACGCTAGCCCCGCTCACACGGTAATGACTGCCGTAAGATTCAGCGTATCAGAGGCATGACGGTAAAAGCGAGGACAGGATATTAAATCTCATTAAGACATAT